CCCGGGGCAAGATTGCGTGCACCATCTTGACCCTAGTTCCCAATAGGTTGTTGTAACTGTTTTTGGAGTATTTTGTTGATTTGTTGAAAAAATTAAATTAGGTGTAACTTAGGGTATATAAATTAATTTTATTTCAAGTTAAATTCATAATTCATAAATGATAAATATAGAACATTTAATATAAATGTATTATTTAACACAGTATATTGCATTCTATAAACTTCAAGTCCCCATAGATTGAATATGCAGGTGATGAAATTAGGGGGATGGGGAATAGTGCAAAATTAGGATATAATGGAAGACACTTATTTAGGGAAAACACATTTAAAAAATCAATAACTCAAGAAAAGATAAAATATCTACAGTATTATGTACTCCCTCCGTCTCCCAGTATTTGTCCACTTTCTTTTTGGAACAAAAACCAAGGTGAGATAAAAAAAGTCTCAAATACCCCTTACAAGTATCTTTCTCCCCCTGATCTTTGGCTTTCGCACTACCCCACCCAATTCACCCCCCCACACACACCACCTACGCCATGCCAGTGGGCTGCCACACTGCATACCCCAGCGTCCACCACCAGCCATCTGCCGTCCATGTTTGTGACGCTGGTCTTATTCCAAACAAAGAAGTTTTAGGATTGATTTGTCTCTTTAATTTCAGCAGCTTGTACAATTAGAAAATTTAACAGAGCTTCACCAACCTAGACCCCCTCTCCAAATTCCCTTCCGTATAACCCAACCCAAAATCCTCCAGTATGAAAAATGGAGAAGATGCAATCGATCCTAACTTAACGAACAACAATCTCCTGGCCACCCCACAAATCAGCAAACACACATCAAACTTCAATCGGATCTCTGTCGAACCTTTGTAGATCTAGATAATGGATACGTCACCACGTCATCTGCTTCTTTCCTGGGATTGAGTTGTCATTTCTGCTTCTCGGATCTGTAAAAAAAGATCTTGGCAAGGTGAGATATAGTCGAAGAAAAAGACCGGGAGGAAGAGAAAAGTAAGCATTGAAGAAGAAGATTAATTAGGAGGCGAAGAGAGAGAATGGTAGAAGAACAGAATAGTAGAGAGAATCTTCTTCTGCACATAGAACAAGCCTTTTGGCTCCACAATTATGCAAAGGTTACAACATGCAGCTGAACGTGGATGGCAGCTCTTCTCCAAATGGATGTGCTGGCGGCACCATCCTCAGTGACCAGGTAGGATTCGTAGGATAGTTTGTTCAGGCCATCTCATTTCCCCTCTCTTCAGGGTCTCTGCTCCAAACAAAAACCTCAGCGCTTGTCCACGCGCTCAGCCACTCAATATCTTCAACCTTAGCAACATCTTTGTGGAAATGAGCTGCCAAGGCCTATTGCAATTGATCACCCTTTCATCACCTCCAAAGAATGCTGCTGCATTCATCAATTCATCAGGGATTGTGTCTCCAGGAGGAACCTCTAAGTAAGCCACCCTCCAGCTAGTCAACGAATTGGCAAGGATGGGGGCAAGCCTCAATCAGTGTGTGTTTTTTTAATTCTACCAATTCCCATCCCAAAGTTGTTAAAACCTATCTGTCCCTTGATCTGCTTGTACCCTTTCTTCCATGGAATTAATAAAAGAAAACCCTTTAAAAAAATGTATGTGTGTGTACTGTGTATGTGCTTATGTATATTTTTTTTTCCAGTATTTCCTACTAGCCTAGCCGCTAGGGCCTCACTTTTAGCAAGACTCACTTTGTTTATAGCATGGAATTCTCATGTAATGTGTGCGTGTCTATGTAGATGAGTCTGACAGCGGATTCCCCGGCTCACTCGTCAAGCAGTGATGATTTTGCAGCCTTCTTAGACGCAGAGTTGGACACCGCTTCTGGTACATCATCAGAGCTGGAAGAGGAGAGAGAAGAGGAGAAGGATGACGAAGAGCAAGATGAAAATAATGATCCAGGAGAAGATGATGACCCTAAGGACAATTCAAATTCTGCTAGGTACAAAGAAATGTATTGCTCTCAGGATGATTTTCAATTTAGTAACTCTTCGGAGAACACCTATGATTGCATGAAAGTGATCAAATTTAATTCAAAGACATTTTGAAGCAATAATATCTAGAATGGCCTCCGACCCAAAATGAAGTTGACACTTTCCTCTTTTGGATGCCCCAAAATAAACTCTACACTTTCTCATTTTCCCATTAAAGAAAAGTCGAAAAGAATATGCGGCTCACAAAATTTCTTTCTTCTAAAACAAATTTTTACCATACACTTCTTACTTTTCAACATTTTTCTTTAAACTCTGGGAAGCCAAAGAAAAAAGGCATAAACTTTATTTCTGAACAAAGGGAGTACAAAATTAACTTTTAGGCATTTTGTTCCTTATGATGCTTCACTTGGGATCCAAAAGGAATTATATCCATAGCCTATATCAAGTATCCCTTGAAGTGAAGATGCTTGTGACATATTGATAGCATCTTGGGTTACTACACCGGGGAAGGGTGTATGTGGGGTGAAGTATGTTTTATTATTTTAGATTCTGTATTTTGAAAATCTTCAAAGATTTCTGTTTATTCATTTCTACTAAAGTGCTTGTCAATTAACTTCTTTTTTCACCAATTTTACTATTATTTGTATATTTGTATCCTTTGGATTAACTCTCTTCCTACCAGGAAATTTTTCACTTTGCAAATTTGTCAAGAGAATAACCAATGGAGCTAAAAGAGTCATTACTGACAATGTTTTAGTTTTGCATACATAATGACACATTAAACTTCCCTTGCTTCTTCCTATGACTAGGGGTGGGCACGGATTGGGACGGTCCGGTTTTAGGTTGTCCCACGTCTTGTCCCGTTATATATAAACGGTCCGGAACGGTTCGGATTACACCCTTATCCCGGTTTGTCCCATAAAATTCGGGATCGGAATAAAACGGGACGGATTCGGGTCGTCCTATTTTGTCCTAAATCGCAAATATAAGAAGTGGGAGAAGGTGACATTTCATTCAAAAAAGAAACATGTAGTCATCCAACAAAAAACAATAAGTAGAACGGGTCCAAATAAATTTCAAGTCTATGAAGTTAACATAATTAAATAACTAATTAATTAAAGGAGTGTATTTAGATTTTGGACTAGAATTAGTATTATATATTAGTAGAGTAGATGAAACGGGACAAACGGGACAGATCGGTATAAATTTTAGTTGTTCCGCTCATGTCCCATTTGATATTGGGACGGAACGGGTTTGGGATAAAAAAAATGTGTCCCAATATATTAGTACAATTACAAAACGGAACCGGGATTTTTCGGAACGGTCCAACGGAAACGGATTTCATGCCCACCCCTACCTATGACGTTTTGGGAAATAATTGTTGTTATACCCGAGACCGGGGTCTTATCATTTAGATAATTTGAGGGCGGGATTACGGAGGAATAGGAAGCAAACTAGAACAGCCTTTAATCTTCAGGACGGCCAGATAGTCGATTGACACAATCGTGATAATCGATTAACAGGTGCTTCAGTTTCTTAGAAGAATTCCTCAGGATTTCAGGAGGGGCTGATAGTCGACTGACAGAAGGAGACAATCGATTGTTAGAGAGTGCAGGATTTCTGGGGGACGTGATAATCGATTGTCCAGAAAGGATAATCGACTATAATGGGTTGCAGGTGTTTCAACGGTGACTGATAATCGATTGTCACTAAGGATAATCGATTATTGGGCGGAAGTCTGGGCAAGAAGAAGGGTGTTTTGTGTGGGGGAATGGCTGGGAAATATGAGGATGATGAAGGAGTTCTTTTTGGGGTATTTTAATGGAAGAAAAGAGTAAGGTTAAGAGGAGAAATGGGGGAGATAAGAAATGGAAGAAAATCAGGGATGGATAAGCCAAGTTGGTGCTTAAGAGATATTACACACTCTTATCCTAACTTGGGGTTTGAATCTAGAATTCAAATAAGATATTACACACTTATTTAAATATCTAGAACCTAAAACTCACACTTAAGATAACCACTCTTAAGATATAGAATTAGGGATTTGGATAAAATAGCATCACACTATTTTATAAATACTCAAAGAGTAAAAGGAGTTTTTAATATTCAAAAGATTGTTTTACAATGGCCATAAGGCCTGAGTTATATAGGCAGGGAAAGGGGGAGATAATGCACAATACATTGAATGTAGACATTAGGAAACTTCCTAGCAACATCCTCTCTCAAATCCCTGAAATATCAGCCATGTTTTGAGGTCCTTTTATTGGGATAAAATCAGGGATGGGTGTGGTTGTAGGGCCTCCAATGAAAAGCAAACCAGGGGGNTTGGATAAAATAGCATCACACTATTTTATAAATACTCAAAGAGTAAAAGGAGTTTTTAATATTCAAAAGATTGTTTTACAATGGCCATAAGGCCTGAGTTATATAGGCAGGGAAAGGGGGAGATAATGCACAATACATTGAATGTAGACATTAGGAAACTTCCTAGCAACATCCTCTCTCAAATCCCTGAAATATCAGCCATGTTTTGAGGTCCTTTTATTGGGATAAAATCAGGGATGGGTGTGGTTGTAGGGCCTCCAATGAAAAGCAAACCAGGGGGGATGAATGGCCTTCTTTTGGGCTGATTTTGGGGGATGTATTCAACCAATTAGGGGGACAATGGGAAAGGATAATGTGTGGTACTTTGGCTGCATATATGAGGATTTATTTGGTGGTTAAAGGGTTAAGAAAGTACCATGTTTCTCCTGGACTTTTATGGTTGTTTAGTGGGTTGTACTAGAGAACATAGTAGGGACCATGTTGGGTGGATGTTGGAAGATGAATGAGGCTGTTTTGGTTTCCTATTGTGACCAGGGATCAAAATAGATAGAAGAGACTTTATTTTGGATATCAAAAGGAAATAAAATACTTTTGGATGTTTGGGGTTGGGTTGGACGGAAAAGGGGGTTGACCAGCGGAACCCTTAGGTCAAAAACGAATGTTATTTTGGCCTTTCGGGCTAAAGGACATTGAATTCTCACTAAAATGGATCATAATGTTTGAACCTAAGTCCTTTGGTTTCCATGAGGGTGTGGGATATGGGGGAGGGTATGATAGGCTCGGGCCCAGATATATCAATTGTAGCAATGTATCTAGGATCTACTATTATTCAAGAGTAAGACTGTACATCTGGATCCGTTGGGATTATGCTGGGTTATTGTTGTTTAGCCAAACATGGATACTACAATACATTCTCGCAATATGTGGACTAAAAAAGATGATGATACAAGTATCTGTTGCAAGCACACGTTATATGCTTGCACAATAATCAGATGTAATTAATTGAACTGTTGCTTCTTATGAAAGCTTTATTAAGTCACTAAGACCTATTCGTCTTGCCTCATTCATGTGCTTTTTTCATTGTCATTACCGCCACAGAAGGTTATTTAAGATGGTGTTTTATCACTTTTATGTTAGATGCTTCTGCCACTTGTAATTTGATCTTGTGTTCAATATTTGTTTTAATGTAGGGTAAAAAGGCGCAAGGTAGGAAACTACATCGGTTCAGGGGATCCACATGGAAGCTCAAAATCTCGTGGAGAACGAGGAGGTTGGAATACTTCCTCTTTTTTTTGTTGAGAGAATGTAATACTTCCTCTCTTGTGTGTGTGCGTCTACATATATATATATATATATATATACATATATATATATATATATATATATATATATATATTTAGAAGGAAAATTTTTATTAAGTCAAAAAAGAAAGGAAAAGAGTACAAGGAAGGGAGGACTAGACCAAAGCCCCTCTAGAAATGCATGGAAGATAAGAAAATAAAAGGGAAACAACATGAGTGAAGATAGAAATCATTCCCAGATTATAAATCCGGGGTGCTGATCAAGAGAAAGGTTTCTGGGCATTATTTTCTTTGGTCTTTTCCCGTCCACTATATATATATATATATATATATATATATATATATATATATATATATATATATATATCGGTAAGTCTAAAATGACACCAATGCTACTGGTGTCATTCCACCCTTGCCCCCCTCCCTACCCTGGCACTGCCAAGGTAGGGAGGGGGGCTGGGGTGGGAGGCATGGGTGGGGCTG